AGACTTTTGTCTTTCAGCTGTCTGATATTCACTTCCACATTTTAAAATAACATATTGTTATTTCTTGAGTTTTCAGTTCTGGAAATTATCTGATTTCCTACTAAGGAAGATGAAGATTTAGTATTTCTTCTCATATCTCTACTTTACATTCAAGTTTCCCTCCCTTCATCTTTGACTTGGTTAAATCATTATTCGTTAATGTTTTTGCTCACAGTGGAGCTACTTAATATTATTTGATTACATTTCCCTTTGTTATGTAGCTTTTTGTTGTCTCTGAATTAGTAATTGCCTGTGTTTCAATTTGTTTGATTTTCTATGCACCAGTCACTGAATCATTCCCAAACATTCAAACAGAACTGAAAGTGTCCGAACATATTCAAACATATTCTGCACTCTGTCAATTTAATATTCTTCTTGAAGACATCCCTCTGAATTCTTCTCTTCTTTGGATTTAGTCTGGGTTGGTTGTTCTTTAGGACTGTTGCAGAGTTATCCTAGAACTTCTTTCACCTCTCTTCTGTGCTGAAGTGTTTGGTTCTAGTTTTCCATTTCTTCCTTTTTCTGAATAAATGCTCTCATTTCCTGGAGCATATTCTTTAGTAGCTTGCAGAGAAACCCTTCATGGGAACTAATTGTTTTTTCAAGACAGTGCAAATGATCTGAAAGTATCTTATTCTGCCTCCTACTTGACCAGGCATATAATTTTAAATCATTCCCCTGAGAATTGAAAATTATTTCCCCTTAAAATTTTGAAGCCATTGATTGTCTTTTAGCTTCTAGAATTGCTTTTGAGAAGTTCACTTTTATAATTCCTATTTCTTTATTTGTGACCTGTTTTTAATTTTCAGAAACTTCTATTCCAGGTGTTTTAGAATTTCACTTTCAAGACGATGTATCTTTATGTTTATATTCATTGTGATGGTGGACCCATTCAGTCATGAGTTTTGAGAATGAAGTTCTGCAAAGTATTTTTGATTTAAAACTTTTTTCATTTTCTCCATCCCTATGTTCTCTATTATCATTTATCTGGAATCCCTTTTAGCAGATGTTGGACACCCTGGATTTAATCTCCTAATTTTCTTTTCACTTCTATTTTTTGCTTTCATGAATTATCATTCTACTTTCTAGGAGATATTCTCAGTTGTATTTTTCAACCTTTCTAATGCTTTTTAATTTTTCTCAACAAATTTTTAATTTATATATGCTCTTTCCTCCGATTATTTCTTTCTTAAAAACAGTATTCTGTTTTTATTTCATGGGTACAGCATATTCTCTTCTTCCCCTGAGGATGTTAATTATAGTTGTTTTGAAAGTTTCTTCTACTTCTGTTTTTGTCTTTATTTTGCATCACTTTTATGCTTTTGGTCTTGGTCTCTGTTAGAAGTTTTCTTCAAATATTTTTTTTTTTTAATTTTTATTTTGTCAATATACAATGTATATGATTATTATGGCCTATCA